CAAGCAACCAGACCAAAAATCTTAATAAAATTGAATCACAAGCATCCAAAAAAAAACAAAAACAAAAACACCACCTACAAATTTTAGTTTTTCTTTTTTTTTCTTTTGGATAAATAAGAAAAACCCACGTACAAAATTTTTCAAATGGTTCACAAGACCGAAAATGCAAAGAAACATAGAAAAGTAAGATGAGAGGAATTATGCTTTGACTTGAGTGAGTGATACGGCAAAGAAGAGTCAACCTGGATTTTTTTTCTTCTTGAGCTTCTATGCGCAGAGAAACAAGACAAACAAGGAGAAAAGTGTAAATTTGTCCTTGTTATTTTACAAATGAGTAAATTTGTTTTTAAAAATTTAAAAATAAGTTGTGTGGAAAAATAATACAGATGAGTGAAAATAATAGCACTCTCTTTGCCATGAATTTTTGTATTGTGGTTTACTGATATAATTTTGATGTGTGCGTTCTGCTGTAATTTTGACAAATTGGCTTCTAGGAAAAGTGACGTGGCACTAAATGTGTGGTTGAAGATGAAGACATTTTGGTCTTTATATTGTTGCTACCGACATAGGTGTACGAAGGTTGAATAAGCAGCCAATAATATTTAGCAGCAGCTGGTCGATTTGATGTGGGTGTGCATGCAAGAGTGAAAGACGGGCTTGACTTGAGAGGAAGACCCAGAGGAAAGCAAGAGAGTACGGAACTCTTGTGAGAGATGAGGTCTTAGGAAATACTGTGAGTCGGCGTATAGGGGTTTGGAGTTTGCCTTATGTTGATTTAATTCCAATGTATCTTGTATTGTTATTATTCTTATAGTGAAGTACTCTATTCGGAGACATAGGCATGATTTTGCCGAACCTCATTAATCTTTTGTGTACTATCTTTGTTCCTTGTTTATTTTAAGTTGTTCAATTGTGGTTGGCTTTGTGGTGTTATTATTTCTGAATCTCGGCTTAGCACGGTGATAAAGCACAACGGGTGGTCTCACTCATACTTGGGACCTGAGTGGCTTGGGAAATAGTAGATCTGGAGATAATGGTAATCATCTCAGCTCCTGTTGTCCCAACAAATTTCTAGTAAATATGATACATTAATTTCAGCATAATAATTGATGCAATTTCTAGTAAATATGAAACATGGTGCCTATTTTGAATGGAAGAAACGCAATTATGGTGTTAACTTTCATTAGTTTTAGTAAGCACAGATTATAGTTATACTTTTTTAGTTTTGAGGCAAGAACAAATTTTTTCTTCTTCTTTCTTTGTCTCTCCGTTGCTGAATGGAGTGGCTCAATCTTCGTCTTGCTTCGCTACTTCTATCTCTTGTCTTGCCAATTTGTATCAGCCAAGACAATTTAGGACCAGGAAAATCTATCATTGGAAACCAGACCTTGATTTCTTCCCTTGGGACCTTTGCATTAGGCTTCTTCAGTCCTGAAAATTCTACCAAATACTTCCTTGGTATATGGTACAACAAAATCCCAAAGACACCAATAATATGGGTAGCTAACAGAGAATCCCCACTTGATTCTCCGGGTGTGTTTACGCTCAGCGGTGATGGGAATCTAGTGGTGTTGGACACTGTGGATGGGACTAGAAAAGTTGTCTGGTCTTCTAATACATCAGTACCTGCTTCTGCAAAGAATGGGACAACTGGTGTACTAGTAGATAATGGAGATCTTCAACTTAGATTTGGAGAAGATACTCTGTGGCAGAGCTTCGATAATCCCTCTGATACTTTTTTGGCTAACATGAAGCTTAGCTTTAATAAAAGGACGGGCAAACGAAGGGCCATTACATCCTGGGCAGCACTTGATGATCCACAACCCGGAAAGTTTACCTCAGGCATTGATCCTAAAGTGCCTGGACAGCTTGTTATCTGGAAGGAAAATGCTATATATTGGAGAAGTGATTTGTACGTTGGCAAGGAGACGAACACAGACTTTGGTGTTGATGGTGATCATGCTCCATCGTTAAATGGAACTGCTTACTTCCTTACTTACAACTCGGATACTGAAGAGGTTTACGTTACTTATGGTGTCTCAGATAATTCAGTCAAACTGAGGGTAATATTGAATCCAAATGGGCAGATTGAGCTGCTTCTGTGGCTAGATCTCAGTAAAAAATGGTTTTCATGGTGGAAGAAGCCTGTTGATACATGTGATTTCTATAATCGTTGCGGTCCATATGGTGCCTGCAATGATAAAAATGAAACCCTCTCATCACCATGCAAGTGTTTGACAGGTTTTCGGCCAAAATTCCAAGAACAATGGGATAAGGGGAATTGGGTTGGTGGCTGTGTTCGAGAGAAAGCATTGATGTGTAAAGAAGATGGGTTCTCAAAATTTTCTAAGTTGAAACTGCCAGATCATGCTGTTCTATTAGAAAATATGAGTATGAGTGCGTGTGCATCTAAATGCTTCCAGAACTGCTCTTGCACGGCTTATGCTTATCCAAATGTGACAGCAGGAAGCATTAGGAAATGTCTGACATGGTTTGGGGACTTGATGGATATTCTAGATGATCAACCTGTTGACTCTCCGAGTGTACAAAATTATGGGCATGATGTTTATATTCGTGTTCATGGCTCCCAACTAGGTAAGTTTTGTGATTTCTTTTGCTTTTTTGTGCATGGATTTGTCAATTAGAATCCGTAGCAGACAGTAGTTGGCCAGAAATGACGCTTACAGCAATTATTTTATTGGTCATTCCTTTTCTTTTCTGGCAGGTCTTAAGAGTCATTCCCATAATGTATTGAAAAAGTCCCCTGTAATTGGAATAGCGTCGGCAACAGGGGTATTGATTACATTAGTTCTTGGCTATTTCTTTTGGAAGAAACACTTGGGAATGGAAGGTATAGTGCTACCACCCTTCTCTTTCTCACTCACACAAACACATATATTCTAGTGTTCCAAACAACCGATGCTCTAATAATAAGAATGAAACAGGGAGCACGGAAGGCAGTATGAGTGAGACTATAAGTAAAGCCAGAGCTGAAGCTGCGAAGAATGATGCAGAGCTACCACTCTTCAGTTTAAAGAGAGTTTTAGCTGCAACAAACAACTTCAGTGTAGCGAATAAACTGGGGGAGGGAGGATTTGGCCCTGTTTATAAGGTGACACTTCACCACTTTGTAATGCTAATTAATGTTGTTCTTTCATAAATATTATAATTTCTTTTCTTGTTCTCCTAATAACCTTTTTCCTAATTAAGTAGAATTGGTAAAATGGTGGTTCACTTCGTGTGGAATTTTCCTTCCACTACAGGGGGTGTTACTTGAAAATCAAGAAGTAGCCATAAAAAGGCTGTCAAAGAAGTCAGCGCAAGGACATCAGGAGTTTATGAACGAGTTAAAGCTTATAGCCAAGCTACAGCATACCAATCTTGTTAGGCTCTTGGGTTGCTGTATTGAAGAGGAGGAACTCATCTTGATCTATGAGTTCATGCCCAATCGAAGTTTGGACAAACTTTTGTTTGGTATATCCTCATTCCTTCTAAGATTTGATTGTTTGACATTGTTGATTTCTCGGACATCAAAAGTTGTGTGATGCAATATCTTTTTCCATTTGTTCAGCATTTCATCTAAAAAAAGAAAAAGGAAAAACACTTAATTAGCTCATTTTTTCTTCATGGTTTGTCCTATCAGCTCCATCTAACAATACAGAATTAGATTGGGGAAGACGATTCCGAATTATAGAAGGTATTGCTCAGGGATTACTTTATATCCACAAGTACTCTAGATTGAAAATCATTCACAGGGACTTGAAAGCAAGTAATGTGCTGTTGGATGGAGCAATGAACCCCAAAATTTCAGACTTCGGAATGGCTAAGATTTTTGAAATAAATCAGACTGAAGCAAATACCAATAGGGTTGTTGGCACATAGTAAGTATTTATATGTAGGGCATGTTTTCATTCATTTGCTAAACCTTATGCTATCATTACTATTGCTTACCTCTCTACCATCAACTCATGCAGTGGATACATGTCGCCAGAGTATGCCAGATATGGCCATTTCTCTGAGAAACTAGATGTGTTTAGTTTTGGAGTGTTGTTGTTGGAAATTGTAAGTGGAAAGAGGAATGCTGCTTTTTATCGCTTTGAACATTCACCAACTCTTGCTGGATGGGTAAGTATAAATAATTCTAAACTATATATGTTCCTTTCTGTTTGTATGCCTTGTAAATTTGTGATTAACCGTAAAATTGAAGTTTAATTATTTTAAATCTTAATTAGGCATGGGAATTGTGGAAAGAAGGTAGAGGAATGGAGGTGATTGATGCATCAGTAAGGGAAACATGCCCCCCTGATGAAGCTTTGAAGTGTATCCATGTAGGGTTTTTGTGTGTTCAAGAAGCTCCAGCTGATCGACCAACAATGTCTTCTGTAATTCGTATGCTGCAGGCCAATGAAGCCACATCACTTCCACCGTCCAAGGAACCTGCCTTTTCAACTCACAAGAATTCCATACCTGCTGCTGTTAGTTCTTCTGGTCAAACACCTGCAAGTTTTTCCAACAATACAGTCACCAATAGTTTGGCAGAAGGTCGATAGATGTTCCTATTTTAATAAAATATTTGGATGTTACGGACAACAATGCTGCTCTCCTGAGGACCATATTTTGAGGGCCTGTGAGGTCCAAACTTGTTACATATCCGTTCGATTTAATCTAATGGCTGTGTTACTAACCTCTTTAAAATACCATTTCACCTATTTATAAAACCCAAGATTACATTTTTTATCTTTCATTTTTTATATTGTTTTTACAAATAATTACTCTCTCCCTCCTCGTATTTTTCTCTCTGACTCTCCCGGCTTTTCACCCCTTTGAACAACAAAGTGAAATTATTGGCAATGAGTTGGAGAGAAAAAGATTTTGCTTGAATTGAGTTATTGATAGCATCCTTACTAAAAAGAACACAACATATACAAATTTGCCTGGTAAAGCACCCAAAGGCCAAAGGTACCAGTAAGTTAAAGAGTGGAAAACCTACATTTTACCGGTAAGTTATAGAGTGAAAGGCCTATATCACCCTGGTAAATTATAGTGTGGAAAGCATACATTTTACCGGTAAATTATAGAGTGAAAAGCCTATATCCTATCGGTAAGTCAAGTAATACAACCCCCTATCCGTTTACCATGCCCAATCGTCTCATGAGTTATAAGATCCTGAAAAGAACAATGGATAGAATAGAAAGTAGCAAACACATTAAGTGTATCAAGTAAACGACCAACATATAACAAGTTGCAATGAATATTAGGAACCAAGAGCTCATGAGACAAAGGTAAGGAAGGGGTGAGGTTGATGGTACTGTCACTGGTAATGAGGAAAGGTAAACCATCAGTACTAGTGATATAGAAATCATGAGGGTTACGAGACAACTCATTAAACATGTTAATATCGCAAATCATATGATCAAAACCACTAGTGTCAATTATCCAAGTATTAGAACCAATACCTGTAATGGTATCAGAAGCGCACAAATTGGCAGACGAGGCATGAGAATTTGTCTCGTCTTGGGTCATAGTGCAAGCAACCTTGGAGCCATACATATGAGCTTTGTAATCATGCTCCTTAGAACACTCGGAGTAATGATCACCACTACAATGACCACACTTACGTGGTCCTTCAAGAGAACTAGGTTTGGCATGAGTATAACCAGAAGGACAAGAACCATAGGGAGCAGAGGACTTCTAAGGAGACCAGCAACCGATCATTTCCTGAAGAGTGATCGGTCGGCCACAGGCATAATCCACATTTAGGGCTGCCACACCTCCTCTGACCATAGCAGATTGGCGAGGGTCTTCCTCCATGACAATGGCGTAGGCTTCCAGAGGAAGCGGGACATGACTGAGAGCAAGGATTCGGCTACGGACTCCATCAAATGGCAGATCAAGCCCTTCAAGAAAATCATAAACTCGATCGGCTTCAATTTCTTTCTGACAGCGAGCCACATCAGCAGAACAACTAAGTCATTCAGATGCAGACAATCAATCTCTTGCCAGATGGCATGAATTTTTTCATAGAACACTTTCACAGATTCACCATTCTAACATGTAAGTATGGACTACCATCGGAGTTGAAACAATCGATAACTATTATGAGTCACAGTATAAGTATTTCGAGTGGCCTTCCATATATCAAAAGCAATAGCACCATGTTTAAACAAGGCACGAATTGGTTTAGTCATGGAATTGGGAAGCCATGACTGCACCAAGAAATTATCTTCTTCCCATTCAGCATAGGCATTTGAGAGTTTGGACGGAGCAGTCTTCTTCCCATTGATGAAGCTTGCCATACGATGACCAGTAATCATAAGGAATGCACAATGAGACGAAGATGCATAATTGAAGCCATCCAATTTATCAGGAGTAATATGAGCAGAGTAATCACAAGAAAGACGATCCTCCTTCGTTCCAAAATTACTAGAATGCACCACAACCTTGGAATCATTACCCATGATAGCAGCGGAAACACAAAATAGAGCAAATAGAGCACACGACACCACAAACACACAAACCCAATAGGGCACACACGACACAGGCACATGCACAAGAGAACCCTAAGAAGAAATCAGGGCACACAGTAGAACACGGGTGGGCACAACACACAAGGTCACCAGAAAAGTTGGCTCTGATGGGTAGAATATTTTTAGATTGTATTTCATTCTCCAAAAGGAAGTATTTATAATACAAGGCTATAAATCCTAGTAGGGTTATATAAAGAAACAAGATAAAATCCTAATTACATAATATATGTACAAAAGGAAAGAAATAAAATCCTAATAGACTAGGAAATAAATCTCCTAATTAAACTAGAATCTCGCTAACAGAAGCTCCAGCTGATCGACTGACAATGCCTTCTGTAATTCGTATGATGTAGGAAAATGAAGCCACATCACTTGCACCGTCCAATGAACTTGCCTTTTCAACTCTCAAGAATTCCATATCTGCTGTTGTTGGTTCTTCTGGTCAAATACCAGTCAGTTTTTCCAACAATACAGTCACCATTAATTTGGAGAAGGTCAATAGATGTTTCTATTTTAATAAAATATTTGCATATCAGAGATAACCTAGTTAGTAAAATGCGGAACGAAAAAGTACGAATAAAATATGTGTAACACCCCGACCCCAAATTTATCCCATGTTTTAATTTATTTAAGTGGAGTTGAGAAATTACCCGTGGGATAGGGGTATTTTAGTCATTTTCTTATCCGGAAGGACTTTAGGAATTTCAGTTGTACCGTTGCGTAGAGCACGGTGAGATGAGTCCATAGACACGTAGTGGGCTGGAATCGGAGTTGTAACGAGAGAGATATGATCAAATGAAGCTCAGTGGCATAATCGTAAATATTTTGAAGTGGGTTTTTGGTTAAAAGACGGAATTGCCCCCGTCACTCTCTCTCTCTCTCCCCTGCACGTCTCTCTCTCTCCCCGACGGCAGCTTCTCTCTCTCTCTCTCTTCGAAACTCCGGCCACCGTCCATGGCAGTGGACGGGACCGGTGCCAAAAGGACCGGCTCAGCCCCGCCGTCAAGACCTGGCCCTTCCCCGACGTCGGCCGCCGCTCCAGTCGCCGGAAAATGCAGGTTTTTGGCCGGTTTTCGCCCGAAACTTCGCCGGCTCGATCTCCCTCCTCCGGCCACCGTTTCTAGTGATTGAGGTATGGATTCCTACCTATTTTTCATGATATAGCTGATGGTTGGGTAGGATTGCATCAATTTTGAGTGTAGATCATCCGATTTTCGATTTAGGTTTCGGCCGGTTTTGCGATCGCGATTCCGGCCAC